AAATTGTGATAACTTCGATTTTATCACACAACTTGATTTACAAATTGTGATAAGCTCGATTTTATTACTTATTTAAATTTATAAATTGTGATAACTTTGATTTTGTCACGTAAAATGTGATAATTTGAAATTTTTAAATTTTTTAATTTTCACATTTTTCAATTTTTGAATTTTTCAATTTTTGAATTTTTGAATTTTTGAATTTTTCAATTTTTGAATTTTTCAATTTTCAAATTTTGAATTTTTGAATTTTCAATTTTCACAATTTCAAAATTTTGAAAATTTGAATTTTTAAAAAAGTTACACTTTTGGCCCAAATAAAACACCGTAAATAAGTTCCATGTCCTTCATAAATTGAATTAAGTAGTAACGTAAAATACTTATCTTGTAAAATTTCGACTTTAACATTAATAAAAACTTTGAAACTCAATTCAATGGACTGAATTGACTTGTAACATCGACCACTTTTATTAAGACTCGAAATATTGTGTAACCATCCCTTATGTCTTTGGAACTTGCTCACGTGACTTATGGCCGGAAGTTCGTTCACCTAAGAAAAGAATTAATTTGAAATGTGTAAAGTAATAAACACCGCCACCTTTGGCATTACCAGCATCAGCTGATTTTATAATATTAGGGTCAGAATTGTGATAGCATATCGCTTTAGCACCAATATCATTCTTCAATCACTTTAATTCTTTAGTTGTTCTTAAGATTGATTTATTATAAGTCTTGTCTCTAAATTAAGTCATTTGCTCTAAAACATCATTATCAATCAATCATCAACTCCCTTGATCCCATTTCCGAATTATTTTAATTCATAGTTCTTTCGTAATTTCATGTATGCATTTTTAGTTATTATTATATTATAAATCATACTAAGTTTGCTTTCGATCTAAAGAGTGATTAGTTAAGGGCAGATTCATATTTCTTTTATTTATATAAACCCCAAAATTCGTACACGATTGGAGTTCAAATTGGCACTATTTGTCTATAATCGCCCAGCTCTCCCAAATACAACCATTACAATACGACAATAACTCGAGATTGTATTGCCACGTAATTTTGAAGGCTGCCCTGGTGGACTCGTAAATCATGTGTGCGTTTATTAGAATCTGATATGGTGAAAATACATTGAAAAATTCACCTTATAATACTGTAATATCTATTAGCGCGACAACGTCGTGCAGCTAATTATTATCCAGAATTAGATTGTTTGACAAAGATCGGCATGCATGAAGCCTATATTAGGGGGTCAAAAACCATGTACCTATGTGACTTTTTTGTGTAAATTAACCAACCGGGATCACGAAAGTTTGTTTACACGGATCAGCCTGAAGAAGTTAAAAAATAAAGAAAATACAAAATTATGAAAAACGACAGTTTAAACCTGTCTTGAAGCATTAACAAAAAATGTCGGGGAGACGATTTTACCTATAAACTACTTTGCCTCTAACCCCACCCTAATGCCAAACTATTTTTATTTCTAATTTTAATCAAAACTTCAAAAAATTACGTGGGTACATGGCTTTAGCCATCCCCTATATTAGTCGACCACAACACAGGTATATAAATATACCTGCCACTGTATTTCTCACTAGAAAATAAACTCCGGTTGATAAGATAGTAACGCGTAATATAAGCAAGAACTTTTTCAAAAATCTTGAGTAAAAATCTTAAATATATACGAAATTATCTTTTAAAAAAAGCTCCTTACAATCCTGAATAAACTAATAAATTAATATTTTTTTTTGAAAATCTTAATACCATGTGCTTCAGAGCAAACGCGAAAAAAATCCATTAGTTTTGTCATTTCTTTTGTAGAAATTTATTATCAAACAAACAAGTATTCACCGTAACATTTTTATATATTCAAGATTCACAAATTATTAACGTGATTCTAAATCTTTTTTCCATATCTATTACAAGTTTTTAAAACTTCGTCGCATTTATAAGCCTCTCAAGAAAAATATAATGGTAAAACTTTTGGGACACTTGAAGAACAGTTAACCCAGTGATCGACGATCACATGATAAACATATAATGACGTCATTTGTTTACCAGAATTAAAACAAACTGGCCTAAATATACCCTGACCTAACCCTAACTTAACCCTAACTTAGGCCGAACAACATGTCATGTGATGTTGTGATGATCACTGGGTTAACTCTTCTTCAATCTACCCAAACTTTTTATTTATTTTGTAAAATTTTGATATTGGCATTATATTAAGTACATGCCTGACACTTCATCCGAAAATATCGTTACAAAAGCTAATATAACTTTGACGATTCCTAGATCAGTAATAAAGATGTACCGGTATGAAACTAATATAATTTGAAGATAAAGGAATATACTGGTGGCGTTTTCGAATTAGCGTCATAACTTCGTTGATAATAAAGACCTGTTGATTTTATATCATCTGCAAAAAAAGAATAACTCCCAATAGACTTTCAAGAGAATTACTTGGATATAACGGAGAAAGAATTAGTTATGCACCTATACCCTATTCTAAGTAAAACCGTACTATAGGCACCTGTAAGTCTCTTGTTATACCAGGAATATAATGATACGACGTATATAGTTATATGGAATTTCAAGTGACTTTTGTTTATATCTCATTGAAATTAAGTATTTAATCTTCACAATGTAATTACTGTAAGGCATAATTTATAGATTCTGATGATCCGCTAATACCTCTCAGTATGAAAATTTGAAGAGTGTTTAGACAAATCAATTGTGATAGTGTAAGAATCTATTGTTTATTATTACTGTATAACAATTCAAATATTTAATGACAATATTGGTATCTGCGATTTCATATAACGGATTTAAAAGTATCAAGATTATCAGGCGTAACAGTTTATTATAATGAGTGAAGAGACCAATACTTGCAAATTTTCTTAACGTGTACAAACCATCTCTACTTATATTGGAAATTAGCTGATTAATTACGTAATTTCCGATTATAGAATTATCACCCTCGCTGACTACGAATATAACCACTGGTGAAATGAGGTAACGCAACACTGATTCGACGTAGGATTTATTTATTCAAAAGCAAAGGGTAAATCTTCACATAAAATTTGACACAATCAATTAATATTATTTTGTCCAATACGACATTTTAATTACATCATAATTCATCTTAATGTATTATTTGACTTTCATATTAATTACACTATTATTGGTTATAAGGTATTGATTTTCATCTTAATTACATATTTCTTATACATCTTAATTGATAATTATTTAATTGCCCTCCGACTGATCCAGATTATTATTAACCCGCGATAGACACGTGATCACGAGACCACAATTTCATACGTGAAACCTATCCAAACACGACAAGTTTTATTTTTTATTTATTTTTTATTTTTTATTTTATTTTATTTATTTTTACATGTCACTAATACTTTTATCTCTTCTCTTCACAATTCAAGTTCTATCCCACCATTATGCCGCGTACAACATATCTCGAATTCCAATTTCGTCGTGTATCAATCTTGACCGTGACAAGAATTTTTACAATGAATAATTTAAACTTTATCCAATGCGTAACAAGTAATTAGGCCAATGATCAATTGTTCTGGCGTGGCAATTTGATTACGAGAAAATCTATATATGCACTTTAACTAAAGGTCTGCAAATTCTGCAGGAAGAATTGTTATGCTCCTTACTAGTTACATTTGAGCTATATAAAGGTCTACCTATTTCGTATGAAGGAATTCGTTAGGCTGTATAAATATCTACCTGGAATTTTCGGTATGTAATTTTATCTTACCCATAAAGAGGTGTACCCTGTTCCAGGATGATTTCGGTTTGTACTTTTATAAAGTTATATTGTGCATAATTTAGTAAGCCTGACACGGGGTAGAATTTAACTGCAGAGGCTTAGATAAGGCGTTATAAAGTAAGGTGAGTTATGTTTTAAGTATCATTAGTTCTTTAAAATTATAAAAGTTATAAAAAGGACGTAACTTAGTTAAGGTTAGTTACGACATTTATGTGCGAGGTAGGGGCACATAAGCTTACTAACTTGAACTTCTTTATATAACCCAATTCACCAACGCTACGCCTCTGACGAGTTGCCTTGCTGCATAATTCTATATTTTTAGAGTATAGATCATCGGTTGTATGATTCACCACGTAACATTACGAGAAGTATATAACACATTTTAATTGAAGATGTACTATAAGCATCTGAATTTTAATGACCTTTGTTTGTAATCTTCGCAATGTAATTATTGTAGGGCATAATTTATTGATTCAGTTGACAGCTAACAGTATGAAAATTTGAAGAGTGTTCAGATTAATCAATTGTGACAGCTTAAGTACCTATTGTATATTATTATAACAATTCAGACAATATTGGTATCCGAATCCATATAACGAATCTGAAATTATCAAGATTATTAGGCGAGGTAGGTTACAACAATTTATCATACTGAGTGAAGAGACCAATATTTGCAAATTTTCTTGACGTATACAAACAATCTCTACTTATATTCATATGGGGCTGATTTGCGTGATATTTGCGAATAATGTGATTAAGATTTTCAAAAATTGAATAACAAACCTCACCAATCAGATGGCTTGTGTGATATTTTCGAATAGCGTTATTTAAGATCTTCGATAAAGCGATTTATCTTCTGGCCAAAATTAAAAGTTGGAAGATGAGCTGGAGATGAGTTGAAGTTAGTTAGAATTGTGTTTTACTAATAAAATTAGACGTAGAATTTCAACCAACATAATTAATTCGAAGTGTATATAATAAATAACTAATAATATATTTTACCATTCTTATTTCTTTAATACGTAGTAATAAACGTTTTACCTTTATGATCAAACAGTATAAGTGAAGAAACCAAAACGACCTAGCACCATAAAACAACCAAACAGCAAGCTGGATTTTACTACCTCCTGTTGAACATTTGAAGTCACATTGCCAGTAGTGTAGTTAAAAGTGTTTGTTAAAACACCTAGGAACTTAAATTAAAATGCCGCCTGGTAAGACTTAAAGTATTTATTTATTTATTTCATTATTCACTAACAGAAGACTTACAAAATCAGTTTTTAGCACGTCGTCCTCTTAGGGAAATTCAGCAACAACAAAGTATACAACCCAATTTCTTGGAAGTTGTTGATGATTACCTGAACATTTATATAATGCGATTTAATTGAAATAAAAAAAACAAATACCTCTACAAAATCTTTCGTCTTGGTCACTATCCATCAAATGTTAAACAAACACAAAGATGTGGTTATTTAATTCCTAATGATTATTTAATTAGTATCAAAATTTGTGGTGTGAATCTTATGGCTGAAACTCAATATGATTCTGATAATACAGTAATGTATACATTAACTCTGATGGAAAAAAATAATCTGTATCAAGTAATAAGTCTACAAGCAATGTAGCGACTTTATTTTTACAAGTTTGTATTAAATTAAATTTAATAATGATTTTTATATATACAGTACTGTATAGTATTATACTTACTTTATACTTGTAAATTAGAAACTATACACTAATAACAAGTCTGCACTTTCTGGAATTATACTTTTTGGATTTGACCTTGAATGTTTAAAAGAAAGACAGATTAATGACAGCCAAGTTCAAATCCAAAAAAATAAATATTTTCATCAGCTTAAATTCGAATTACAAAAAAAGAGCAGACTTCAAACTTTAGCTTATGACATTTGTAGTAGAATTGAATCTACACTTGATCTACACAATTTTCATAATACAAAATTAGACCATGTAGAATTAAATATAGATGAATCTCCTATTAAATTTCAGAATGTTGATTTGAAAAAATCCAACTTACAGATTTTAGATTCAATAGTTCGAGCATGTGATTAACTTTTAATTTCTCGTGATAGATATTGTAAGCTTGTAGCTGTTATGCCCAAAATGGAACAGGAATATAAAGTTGAAAAGCATTGACAATAAATAACTGAAACTGTAAATGATATGATTCCGGTTTATCCAGTTCAAATAAATTCTTTAGCACCTAATTGAGCTTATCGTTCACTTAAAGATATTCTAAATGTTTTAATTCCTAAGTTAGCATATAGAAGTTCATCAGTATTAAAAATAGAGGATGTTGTTCACATTAAATTAAGTGGGGATGGACGGCAGGTGGGTAAACATCATAACCATGTAATGTTTACCACCTGCATATTAAATCAACATGAAGCAGTTTTGAGTCCATCAAGCCAACATTGTATTTTTCTTTACACGGGTATAGAACAGTATGAATCTCTTCAGCAGGCTTTTAATTTTTTAATTAAAGAACTATTAACTTTAAATATGAAAGGAATTATCAATTTAAAAAACAATCATTGGCCAATTGAGTTTTGGTTTGGCTCTGATTGAAAATTTATGTCACTAGTACTTGGTGTTAAAGGACCAACTGCTACTTATTTTTGTTTATATTGCAATTGTAAGAATACTGATCGTTGGAATATAGACTTAGATTATGAAAATTCTTGTAATACTTTAGGCCGCAAGAATTTAAATCTTTTACCATTTTTAGAAAATCAACATTGTATTCCGGATGAGTTACATGTAATGCTTCGAATTACTGATGTTTTATTCGAATGCCTTTTTTTAGAATTATCAATTGAATCTGCATTTAATAAATGATCAAAAAACAGCACTGATCAGACTATTCGGAAAACATTGAATTAACAATTCATTCTCTTGACATCAATATATTTAAATTTAAAGAACCTGAAAGTTGAAAAGGAAGATAGCACTGGACATCATTAATGGGGCCAGATAAATTGGTTATTTTAGAAAAATTTCCAATCGAATTATTTATTTTAGGTCAAAGAGAAAAAGAAATACAAATACTTTGGCAAGAGTTTTATTTTTTATATCAAACAATGCATAAAATCAATCTAACGGATGAAGATATTACTAAATTCAAAATTTTAGCACAACAGTGGGTCAAAAAATTTTGCCAACCAACAATTGAAAATAGAGAAGGTGAAGTTCTACAGGAGGGAATATATCAACGTGATGACGTTACTCCCTATATGCATGTACTTGCATGCCATATTCCTAAATTTATGAAGTTTCTTAAAACAAAAAATCTATATTTATGATGGTTTTCATGTTCGGGTGTAGAGAAGAAAAATCATAATCATGTTCAATTGTTTTATGGCAGCACTACAATGGGTGGTGGTAATTCTTTAAAACCCGTAGCACATGAAATATGTTCATATGAGAATAGACAGATTTATTATTATATTAATGAAACGTCTCTCTCTTATTCTAAAAAAATTATAAATTTAAAAAAATAAATTTAGATTACAACTATATTTCGCTTACAAATTTCAAATGTAAATTTTAAAAGTCCGTAAGTCCATGTATAAATTTTTTCATTATACTCCTCCTTTGTTGTTCGTTCTTCCCAAAAGAACCCAAATTCAACATCAACCATTTTTTGCGTTTCAGGATCCTTTTTTTCAGTCGCTACTTTAACTATGCTTTCTGTTTTTGTTTTTTTTTCTCACCAGCAAGGATGCGCGAAAATATAACCAATTTTTTGGTATCTGTCTCTTCCCTTATATGTACATTTATATTTTCGCTGGGCCGACCGGTATTCAAAACTTAGTTCTTGGTGAAATACATAGAAGAAAAGGTTTTCATGACAGTGGTGAGTATGAAGGCGGGATTTTACATTTGCAAGAAAAACTGAGTGAAATTGGCACAGGCACCAACTAGAGAGAAGCTCAAACCCGGAACTATGAGGTACAACACGGTTATGTGGGTGTTTATTTACTTCGTGAGATATCAAAGACTTTTTGGTTGAGTAAGTTTTAGAACATAAGAGACAACAAAAAGGTTTAGCCGACATTGTTATCAAATTAGCGTAACCACTGAGATATCACATCCTTTTATCACGTAGATCAGCTAAAATCCTCCCATATGATATGATTTACTACGTATGTCTCATAACGTGATTTTAAGATCACCCCTGCATGACCTAACCCTTGTGATAAGTGTAATGTGCAACCAATCATACAAGTACCGCAAAAATAAATCAATCCAATAAATCAAAACAAACATCCTCTACGTCTAATTAAAATGTTCTCTGTGAAATTTTACTCAGATATTATATTGTCTCAATCCTAACTAACTCTGGTTTATTAGCTTTAGCCTTACATGTAACGTTTTCACTTAATACATCATTATCGATGATATATTTATGAAATAAATATTAAAGCATTAAAAAACTATTTTTATATAAAGATTTTAATTTTTTTATTTATTTTATTTTTAATTTTCTCTAATGGTTTCTAATTTTGTTAAAAAATTACAAATTCCAAAATCTAGATCCATTTTCAATTTTATCTTTTTCTTTCAAATTATTATGTTTTATATGTTAAACTGAAAAAATTTTAATCTAATTTTTTAAACCAAAATTTATTTTTTTAAGTGTCTAATCCGATTTGTTAATCCAAGCTCTGCTTTTAATTGCAAAAATCTAAAACTCACGTAAATGAATTTTCATATTCAAAATTATTATACTAATGCACTCTATACATAAAAACATCATAAATAATTAATTAATCGATTTTAAGGTTTTTTTTTAAATATAGAAAGGGCTTTATACTAATTCCTAAACTTCTTGCTTTCTCTAACAATGGAGTTCGGTATTTTACGAAATATTGGAACAAGAAGTAAGACAATTTATAAATAACAAAGGTTTAAAACAAATAATTTCTTGAACTCAATATTCTATGATTTGTTAATTTGTTTTCAAAAATTAAAAGCTTATTGATATACTGTATTGCGAGAGGAAATCGATCTTCAATTTCACACTATATATTATGGATATATGCGTTAAATCGTAAATCCACTATTGCTATATTCATTATACTTACAGTATTTTTGATATGTTCCCGAATATGTGTGATATTTCAATTATGGCAATGATTTTCTTCTACCATTTCTTTTAAATTTAACATCCGCTAACTAAATTTATATATTAAAATAAAAAAAAGCCCAAAAGGAAAGCGAATGAGGCAGACATTAGTCAGGGGTTCTACATAACATGTTCTTACATATTCCAATATTCAGAATATTCGAAACAACGTGCATATTCTTAAATAACACGCAGATGGGCGTTACTTTGCGAAAATTTGGGAAACATTTTTAGTAATAAAATTATGCAATATAGATTATATTATTTAGTATGCAAAAATAATAGTAAGGGATTTAGTATATGCGTAGAATGTAAAAGAATAAAAGGCTAGTTTCATACAGGTTTAATAAAAAAAAGCTTGTTCTATTTTTGTCAAAAATTACCATTTTAATAAATAATTATCGTTATGTGAATATTCCACGTATACTAAAATTAATCTTGTTAGATATATGAACATACTAACAAAAAAATTTATATGAAATTACTATAAAAATCTATTGTCGTTATAAACCACATATTGCTTCTAATAAAAATTGCACAAATTTTACATATATTTATAATTAGTAAATTCTTACAAAAAACAAAATACTGAATAAAGACAACCAAAATATTCATTCAATCACGCACATAAATCTATTAACTAAAATTTCAAAGATTCAGCCATATGTTGTAATAAGAAATTACAATATTACACGTATTTTCAGTGTTGGCAAATATGGACATGGACAATCCATGTCAATATTGTTTATATATATTTTATTATTAGAATAAGGAACTTAGTCCAATCAAATGCCGTACATGAGCTTAATATTCCGAAATACTATATTCCGAATCAAAAATATTAGCAAAGAAGCAATTTGGATTTCAGATTGTCAATGCCCATATTTGTATTAATGTCCAAATAAAATTTTTATTGAAAATGCCAATACTGCGTATTTTGTATTAATCAATTAGTTATTTGTATTAATCAATTAGTTATTTGTATAATATCATGACTAATTCTTTAACATATTAAAAAGTCTCTGCGGTATTCGTGTTAATTAATAAATTTCGGTGTTCTATGAGAACTTTCTGCATGTGCCACTAGCAAATTCATAATTGATAATCCTTAATGATCCCATTTTGGGAATGAAATAAAACAAATAAGGATATATTTACGCCGTACTACCATGCTTTATTACGTTGTAAAGCCTATGAATCGATGTATATTAATAGATTTATACATAAAAAATACGGCTTCAAAAAACCAGCTTCGAGCACATGATCGTGTAGAAAATATTAAGAATCCTATAACGATAGCCACGCCGAAATCTAATGATTATCATGTGAAATGCTAAGTGAATTAATTATACAGAAACTGCGTAATCTAGAATTTCATTTAATATGTCATCACGTATTGATTACGCACGTAAGTGCTACAAAATAAAAATGGCTTATCCGATAATGTTGCACTTGCTAACTTTATTGAAAATTGAAAATTATTGACGTAAACACAACCCCAACAAAAATCGAAGTTTGAACTGTCTATCCATTATTTAAAGTTTCACAGCTTAGGTCATATATTAAACATTGTAGATCAAAAAATTATTAAGGGGTGTTTGATTTTTCCTAGATTACTCGTTCGTTCGTCTAATAGTTTAACTTTTTAAAATTATTCGAAATTACCTTATACATAAAAAGTATGCATGTAGTTTTTTTTCGACATGCAGTCTCATTAAAATAAATTATGCATAGTAAAAAATAAAGTTTGAATGATTTACTTTGTAAGAAATCTATTTAGCAATCGGTGCTTACCAACTTTATCTCTACAACCCAAATTTAGATAAACAAAAGAAATAAATCCAAATATAGAAGGCCATGCAATCATCGTGACAATAACAATAAACATATGAAATTCTGTGAATTTTTTTTTATAAATTCACATAACATTTGCTTTTATATAACGTAGAAAATTTATTCAATTTATTCATCTTTTTTTAATTTATCTTCTAAAATGTCGGAACACGAGTGGCAAGCTCCTGGCCCAACTGATAAAAGGTCTGCATGTCCTGCATTAAATACTTTAGCCAATCATGGATATTTGTATGTATTTAAGATAATTACTGTTTTATTTGTTCAAAGTTTTTTTTTTTTTTTCTTAAATACTTTTTTTTTTAATTATTAGGCCTCGAGATGGCGAAAATATTACATCACAACAATTAATTAAAGCTCTTCAAGATGTCTACAACTTATCAGGTGCTCTTGCCACTATGGCTACATATAACGGTGTGGTTACGACTGGATTATTGTTTCAAAAATCTTTGTATGTAATATATTGAAAAGAAATAAGTTATATTGAAATATTCAATAAATACTATTTAATCTAATATAAATATATATATTTTTAAAGCAATTTAGAACAAATATCAAAACATAATGCATTAGAGCATGATGCTTCTCTAACTCGAAAAGATAAATATTTTGGCGATCCACTCAAAGTTGATCACGAATTGGTTGATAAATTCCTTGAACAACAAGTTGATGGGAAAATTACCATGGATTCAGCAGCAAAATATAATCGAATTCGTGTAAATAATTCAAAAGAATTTAATCCTGAATTTACATATGGATTTATGCAAAAGGTTCTTTCTGCTAATGAAGGAGTAATGTTGTTAAATATTTTTGGTGCTGCTACAAATGGTGAAATTGATATTGGATTATTGGAAGCATTTTTAAAACATGAAAAGATACCTGAAGGTTGGCGAAAACCCGATAAAGCAGTTGCACCTTTTGATGTCTTTGGTAAAGCTTTTGAAATCATGAAAAAGTATGATGAAATAGATAAAGAGCAAAAGAAGTAAATAGTTGAGTTGTGGTATATTTATATGTTATGTTATTAACTAAGTTTTATATTATTTTTATTTTCGAAATTTTTTATATTGCATATATTATTATTTCGTTTCTTTTGTATTTAAATTTTTAAGGTTTATATGTATCAATATCTCATTTAGCTGTCAATAATATCATACATAAATATCAATTTAAATTGTCTGCGCATTTTAGGCATTTTAGGCATTTTCAGTAATTTAAACCAAAACAAATTGTTCAATATTTGATTATGGTTGCTGAATTAATAAAATACAATAGTTTATATAAAAATTAAAAGTAAAGGTTGTGTATATTGCAGTAATTTTAAATATGGTATCTGATGCTAAATATTGTTCTATTATATTTTAAAAGATAAAATTTAAGCCATGAAAAAATTTCATACTGCCTATATAATTTTCATGAAAATTCTACAAACATTCCGAGCTTAGTCACGCAGGTATATCGTTTAATGCACCACAGTTTGACCAACCTGATTCAGCTACGGGTAAGATTTTTTTACTATTCTCGCTCGGATCACTTTATTAAACATTATGAAAATACATGATGGGAGTAGTGCTTCCTTTCTCTTTTGCTATACATACTGTGCTCGGTAATAACAATTCTATTTTCATATGAAAATATGCTCATGTGACGAAGCATAACCGATTAAACTGCAAAAGTTACGTTTTTGGTAGATCTGCGGTTACTTTTTTGGTAGGTCTGATTTACCCCCTAAATTGAGGTGGCGT